TACGGAAAATATTACTCATGAGTAGGAACTATGTGATATTTTGGGAAATTTTACAGAAAATCAAGTGGGTATAAGGGAAATTCTCTAAATAAGCGGCGATGACGGGAACAACGGTAATTGATGGCGATGACGGCAATGAAAAGCGAACGTATTGACAAATGACGGGGAGAGTCGGAAGAGTAAGAGCATCGCGTAAAAAATAAATAATATGTATTTAGCTGTTTTTTAGCTGGCGATCTAAACCGTCTTCCATTGTTTTACGTAATTTATTACGAGTGTTACTTGTAAATTTTTGTTATTCAGTGAATTGATATTTCCTGTTAACTTAGCATCATTACAGTGCTGTTTTATTTGTGTGAAGGGTGTTGCCCAATATTTTCTTATGCAAGTATAGGTTTAATGCTCCCTATAATCTGAATCTTCCTTCTGATTCTCTTTAAAGGTATTTTAGTGGAATTAACCGAATACCCTCAGAGATCAAATAGGAACGCAATGGATTGTAATGCAAAATTTTCATATAGTGTAAAGTTGTACGATCGAATTGAATTGTTCCGAACAACAGATAGTGAAATACACTTAAATCAATGATGCAACTATATGTGATGAAACGAAATTCCATGGGCCCCTCCCAAAACTTTCAACATTTTTTGAAATGCAATTTGTCGACATTTGCAGTGAGACATAAATTCTTACGACTTTGTCAACGTCAATGTGCTATATTCTTGAACGATTTACTGAAAACCGGACGTTCCCCGGCTTGCTATCAATAATCCCTTTTTCAAACGAATCAACCGATGAACCAACTTTTAACATCACACATGCATGGTCTTTGTTTCTATTTGGGCGGTGTAATACCTTATGAGGGTTGTAGACGGTATAGTTTAGCTCCTGTACCTCCTATTGTAATTAGGCGACCAGTAGAGATATATTGGATTATCCCCTTGGTTTTAATTTGTTGTGGTATTCTATGATTTGTCTTGTGTGTATACAAAATTTTATTCTAGGTTAAGGTTCCGCTGTGAAATGAACGTGAAGGCCAACAGAGAGAGAGAGATTTTATTTCGCGCACCAGAAAAAACATTCATAACAATAAATGATGGCTAAAGAAAAAATACACTTCTTTCGGTATAGACTGGAAGGAGTGATACGATCATGCAGTCATCGGAGTCAGCTCCCTCCAAGTTTACGCTGATAAGTTCACAGTAAAATATGAGTATTAGAAGTGGTTAAAGTTCACGAAACATGCAAATGGTTAGTGTGGTTTGAGAGTTTTTGCATGGTTCGCGAGAAATTCACTCTGTATCCCAACCAGAATTCAACTCATGCCTTTCAACTAGCGTTTTAAAGATAAATACCTAATGATCAATATCTACTCAAAATAATAATTTCTTCTCAACAAAAGTGTAGGTAGGGTAGTGTTGTTTCCTAATATGTAACCCTTGAATATTCTATTACTCGCAGATTTATTTTCCGTTTTTCAGGTCGTTTCGTGATGATCAATTCATTGGCTAGCTTATTGAATATAAATGGTGTCTACATCAACAAAATTCGCTAATGTCTCATCCACGATAAATTTGAATTGACATCAATTGCGTCATAATAACTTAATGAAGAAATGATCCTGTTAAGTAACAATCCTAATTCCGTTATCCTTGCAGAAGTCAATATCTAAAAATTAAAAAAACCTTACCTTGGTAACCAATATATTCATTTACCCTATCGCCCTACCCTAAATTAAATATAACAAGAGAGCTGTGCTCAAATATATGGACACGTCACAAGGTGTCGCTATTTTTATTCTGACACATAAAAAACGAATCTCTTGAAGTCCACAGAAATTTTTGAAATAAGTAAAAGTGATAGCCTTCTGGCGATAAAATTAATCTTTAACCACTGAAAATTTCAAAACAATTAGTCAAGTATTCGAAGAGAAAGGCGATTTTATCATGAATGATCAAGCAAAAGAAAAATAATAATATAATATTGAAACGATCGTTATGTCCACAAAAGTGTACAATAATCAGCTTGGCGATATATTTTTCATAAAAATTCATCTTTACTGTTCACTCCTATTTATAGAATCGATCAATTCGGCAGTGGAAAACAATATAAATTTATTGATATGGTGTGGCCAGTGATTTTTCATTTATTCATATATATTTTTTAACTACCAGTATGTAATTTATCATGTTCTTCTTACTTTATAACTTCTGTATGGTTGTGTGTGTGAGCGTGTGTGAAATATTTTAGGTGAGTGAACACGTACCACTTCTTCTTGGCAAAACCCTCCATCTTATTTTCTGTGCGTTTTCAACCTTATCTAAGATTTTGTTTGCTCTCCTGATATCATAATCGGTTTTTATTTATTTATGGAGTCGAAATAAACTTATATTTATTAATCGTGATAGATGAAACGCGCGCTACATAGCTTGGACAATTTCGAAAGCGCAGCCTGCCATGTCTTAGCAGGCTACATATGAATTGACTTTATAAGATGCTTTTCCTGCTGTTGTGGAAATAAAAACGATTTCCGCAGGAATCTTATGCTGTACATAGATTTCTTGTTCTTCCCGAATCTCGCATTTCATTGTAATGTCCTGTATAAAAACACCTAAATATAAACTTCCTGTTTTACAGCGATTTTCTCAATCTTCCCGCCTTTTCCGTTCTTCCCACCATTTTCAATACTTACGTATTTTGTTGCAATTTTCTATATAAAACACCTAAATACTTATTTTCCGCATTCCCGAGATATTCTTACTCTTCCCGCCTTTTCCGCCATTTTCAATACTTACGTATTTTGTTTCAATTTTCTATATAAAACACCTGAATACTTATTTTCCGCATTCCCGCGATATTCTTACTCTTCCCGCATTTTTCCGCTCTTCCCGCTATTTTCAATACTTACGTATTTTTTGCCCTTTTCTATATAAAACACCTGAATACTTATTTTCCGCATTCCCGCCATATTCTCACTCTTCCCGTCTTTTCCCCAATTTTCCGCTTTTCCCACCATTTTCAAGACTTACGTATTTTGTTGCAATTTTCTATATAAAACACCTAAATACCTATTTTCCGCATTCCCAAGATATTCTTACTCTTCCCGCCTTTTCCGCAATTTTCCGCTCTTCCCGCCATTTTCAATACTTACATATTTTGTTGTAATTTTCTATATAAAACAGCTAAATACATATTATTTATTTTTTACGCGATGCTCTTACTCTTCCGACTCTCCCCGTCATTTGTCAATACGTTCGCTTTTCATTGCCGTCATCGCCATCAATTACCGTTGTTCCCGTCATCGCCGCTTATTTAGAGAATTTCCCTTATACCCACCCAATTTTCAGTGAAATTTCCCAAAATATCACATAGTTCCTACTCATGAGTATTATTTTCCGTAATTTCCGCTTTTCAATACAATTTCTTGTACCTACACATTTAAGTGTATATTTCCCGTTGCTCTCGCCTTCTAGTACAATTTCCCGTACATACACAATAAAATGCCCATTTCCCCAATCTTAGAGCTATTTCCCGTCATTCCCACTTTGTGTGAAATTCCCCGCTATTTAGTGAAATTTCCCCTACATACACTCTAAAATGCATATTCTCCCTATCTGAGAGCAATTTCCCCTCTTTCCCGCATTTCGTAACATTCTCCCGCTTATTAGTAAATTTTCCCGTCATTAGGGCCCTAAAATGCGGGAAACGGGAACGACGGGAAATGCACTAAAAAACGGGATCTGCGGGAACGACGGGAATTTGTCAATTTGAAATTGCGGGAACTACGGGAAATTTCACAAAAGACGGGAATGACGGGAATTTGCTGTAGGGTATGGGAAATATGTATTTTAGAGTATGTGTGAGGTAAATTTTCACTGAAGGGCGAAAGTAACGGCAAGTTTATACAGTGCTCCCGAGTATGTTCATCAAGATGGCGCACAACCTGAACCAAGTATGTATACCAGGTTAGGGTTCAGGTTGTGCGTCATCTTGTTGCACATACTTCCGGAGTGCCGTTTATACTTGAGTGTGCATGTACGGGGTAATTGTACTAACATACATATTATCCGAATACATATTATCCGAATCTGAATATTATTAGAATCTTTTAGTGAAATTTCCGTATCCACACAACCCAAGCGTATATTTCCCGTTGCTTCCATTTTCTAGTGCAATTTCTTCTAAACATTTCTCCCGTAGTTCCCGCATTTTAGTTTTTGCAATTTCCCGTCGTTCCCGCAGTTCCCGCATTTTAGTGCATTTCCCGTAGTTCCCGTCGTTCCCGTTTCCCGCATTTTAGGGTTGCCCGTTTGAGTGAGACTCAATTAAACAATACCGGCTTATTTATTTTTAAGCACAACATTCAGTATTATGCCCGGCTAAAATTTTACTCATCATACAAATATTATATATATTATAACTAACACTAGAGGTTTTGTAGCATTATTGGTTTACCTGCTGCGGACGATTAAAACTGGTCATCTGACGTCTATCTTATATTACTCGACAATTCCATAAATAAAATGTTACTCTCAATAGTGGTTAATCATTCACTAATACTCCTTTCAAATCTGTGCGCATTCTCGTGCCTGATACTCTCAAGCTACATAGTTGTTATCGTAAGTATGTGTGACACGGCATTTTTCTGTTGTTTTGCTATCGTAATGTAATAGGTCGATTCCTTAATGCCTAGCTGCCGAACAGGAAGGAAGAAGACACTTACCGTTTATATATGCAGATGCCACTTTGTTTGTTATTAAAAGTTGTGTTTCCTTGCTTTTCTTGTAACAAGAAAGGCGTTAAAATCTTCTGCAGTGTAGCAAGTTTAATCGGGTCTGTACGGGAATACGGGATTATCTGTTTGATTGAGAAACTAATGTCATGGTTGTACTGTTTTTTGTTGAAACGGTGTACCATAGTATTTTGCCAGAGACTGTGCGTTTGGTAAATCGCCTGCATGATTTTTAAATATCGAATTTTTCTCAATTCCGCAGATATGATTCATAGATTCTAGTGTCGATTGATTTGCAATATGGAAGAAGAAGCTACAAATCATGGACTTTTCTTTCACTATGCAAATATTCAGTCAGCAATATTGTTTGTAATTGTCCTCGGATTATACTGGCTTTTATTCAAGAAGGACGATAATTCAGCAAATCTTCCACCAGGTGAGTAAAAACGGGAATTTGTTTTTATATGTGTCTCAATTTAGTTAAAAAGGTGTTCGTTGTAGCTATTTGCTGTAAATTACCACTTTAGTGCGGCAATGCACAAGGTTACAAATGGTGTTTTTGAGAGCTGATATGTACGGGAATGTCAACATACAGTTTTATTACTTTGTAATCAAATCAATTAATAAGGGCTTGTTATTTGCATGGGACAGAAAAATATGCCCCATGGACAAGCCTGGTTATTTTTGATTGTGAATTTAAAACTTTGATCATTTCAATTTGATAAATGGAATTGCACAACTTAGATAAACTTGTGCTCTTAGTTGGTTACGTTGGTTGCAAATGTGCACGTCTCGATGAGATTTTCTTTGCATAAAAGATTGCACTAGCGCCTGTATTGACATTGCGCATTGACGATTTTACGTAATCTCTTTACAAGACTTGATATAATACTGTGCGGTAGTTTACGATATACTCGTTTCAACAAAGGTCAAAGTCGAAAAGAGTATGTTTCGTATATTTCATATCAGTCTTCCACTAGGGCTGGGCATTTTCGAATACCTGATGATTTCAGAATCGAATCGAATCTCGAATACTTGGGAGATATATAATTGTATGTAACTGTCTTCTTGTATTTGGTCCTCCAGACACATAAATTACTAGAAACGTAAAATATATCACTCAGACAGATTGCTGAGCGTTCACACACAATAAAAAATACGTTTTTATCAATAACTCACTACAGAAATGAGTCATATGTCAGAATTGCGTTGAAAAATATGACTTCCATGAAAAAAAATTTATAAATTTACCTCGACAATTGGCGGAAAGGAAAAAAAACAAGATGGTGGCGATTCGAAATTCCGCTTTGAACCGATTCGAATAATTTACTATTCGATTCGAAATACCCATCAGCCCTATCTTCCACCTGACTTGATACATAGGCATCGCATTTGTACAGCGACTACCGCATAACAGCGTATCTCGTTCCTGTACACATTCATGTCTACAAAGAATTTTTTACTCAACTCTATCTGAACATTTATTCCAGGTCCCAAAGGATGGCCACTACTTGGGAATTTGCCTTCTTTGAGTCTTCATTCTGAGCGTGAAATGATGGCATGGAATAAAGAGTATGGGCCAGTTTGTCGACTGAAAATGGGTAACATCGAATTTATCATACTAGGCAGTGTTGAAGCGGTACAAGAAGCATTTGTCAAGAAGAGCGACACATTTTCAGGCCGTCTTCAAGATTCAGTCCCTGGAATATCGGGGACTCATGGAATACTTTTCTTGGATTACGGGAACCAATTGAAAGAGCAACGTCGATTTGGATTGGCAACCCTGAAAGAATTTGGAATGGGTCGTCGAAGTATTGAGTCAAGTATGCTTGAAAAATGTTCAGAGCTTTGTGAACAAATAGACCTGGAAATAGAGAAGGGAAAACCATTTTCGATTGATTTCATGGTTTACCAGACTGTATCAAGTGTTATTTCAAAGCTTGTATTCAATAAAAATTTAGCTCGCGAGAATAAGGAGTTTCGGGATTTTCTTCACTTAATCATGACTGGATCAAAATACAGCGCTATCAACGGAATCACCGTGTTTTTTCCACCACTGAAGGTAACTTATGTGTGTGAGTAAAAATGACTACATTTTGTTCATGAAGTCCTAAACTAAAATACTAGCAAAGCACCCAGAGAAGCGATTATTAAACACAAAACTGAAACAAAACAAATAAACTGCTATCTAGAAGAACACCTCCATACTCACAGATCACAGCACCAAAAGGCAATAAATTATAGCTCACAGAAGTCAGTTGCCAGAAATTACAATTCTATTTATTTTTTGTTAAACTAAATTTTTCTAGACACCGAATGAGCATATTATAAACATAACATTTGAAAATATGGTCAATAGAAAAACGAGAATGACTCCATTAAAATTGTTGAATTTAACACACAGAAAATCCCCCCGTTTTCCTGGGGTAGGAGAGAATCGGAAATTTACGAACAAAATCATCAGCGCCTTTTCCAGCAAGAAATAGACGACCATAAAGCGACCAGAGATCCAAAAGAACCAAGAGATTTTATCGATTGCTTTTTAAATGAGATGGATATTGCGGGAAAATCATCGGAGGGAGCTGACGCATTAGGTAAGGCTGGGCTCTAAAGAGGCACGCCAGCAAGAGTAGAGAAAAGCTCACTCTCGTATAAATGAAGATGATTTGAGAGCAAAGGTATAAGTGAAGCATTTACTTTTGCGTATCTCAAATTGCCTACCATTGGTTCATAGAGCTTTTTAGTTTGCATTGATTGGACTTGTTTCATTTTTCTGACAATATTATGATTTGATCATTCCGGTAAGAATTGATTACGTTGATTTGCTTTTTATTTCTTAAGGCTATCACGACAAACAATTGAAATTTCTGGCTCGTGATTTTTTTCTCGCTGGATCAGAAACAACCTCAAGCACAATATGTTGGGTCGTTTTATATCTGTCACGAAATCAAGAAATACAGACTAAAATGCATAAAGAAATAATTGATGTTCTCGGGCATGCTCAACAACCCAGTACCGGTTTTGCAGATAAAATGCCGTACATGAAAGCGGTCATTCAGGTGAACTATTTGCATTTTGTTATAGTTATATATCAATTATAACGCTTGTTGTAGCTTCTCGAGGTATTTTAAAATGTCCAACGCGATTTTTAACACTTCTGAAACTTGCAAGCCAGCTCCTACTAAAAAGTGCAAGTTTCGAATGCTTCAAGTGTAGTTGACTGAGGAGGCTGTCAAATTCTTCCCTCTCTGTATTACAAAATTCTATTTGTGGACCTGAAAAAAATCATAGCCAGAGATATGATAAATGAACCAGTGTTTAAAAATAGCAACTAATTTTTCGTTTTGCTCCACTACTTTTATGATATGAAATGTTATAACATTTTCATTATAACACAGGAAATTTTACGTATGAGGCCACTAGCACCGATTGCAATACCACACCGTGCCATTCGAGAGGGTACAATCATGGGATATCGTATTCCAAAGGATGCAATGGTAGTGGCAAACATCTTCGGAATCCAAAACAATGAAGAAACCTGGCCGGATCCGGAGAAATTTGATCCTTGTCGCCATCTCGATGCAGACGGTAAATTTGTTAAAATGCCAGGGATGATCCCATTTTCGATCGGAGCTCGCCAATGCTTGGGAATGCAACTTGCTAATATGGAACTGCATCTGATTGTTGCTTCTCTATTTCAAAGATATCGATTTCACTTTGCAGGCGACAATGATATAGATATGCGTGGAAAGAACATTTTCAGTCTTCGTCCATATCCATTCAAAGTTACTGCAGTCAAACTCTGAGATAACTTTTGGATTCAATAACATGGAAACTTGTTTGACATTTGTAATTTATATATATATCTACCTTGATCTTCATTGAAATTATTGAAAACTTTTACTGTGCGAAGATGAATTATCGTGTGGTCGCTATTCTATCCTGATAGCTTGTCCAGCTTGATGTGCCGCGAAGTTGAGCTTGTTTTAGGCAAAAAAACATTAAATTGGAGACTGATTATTTTAACATAAACTCGTGTTTGTGTTTAATGAAGGTGTTTCGGAAGCTTGGGTTTTGTGTGGATTGCTTCTGCAAAACATGTGGTGTTTCGTTCCACATATAATTGCACAGGGTTAACACTTGGTTTATGATTATTGAGATACATTCCATCGGCCTAGTTTAAATCAACAGGTTTATTTTTCACCACATATATTAGAAATACACGTTGTACATACAAAATGAGGTGAAAAAAGAAAAAATGCATTTCAGGGTGAAGGGGGGACGCGATGAACCAGTACTGGTTCATCTCCTTTAAAACGTACTTAAAACTCCTTAACGTACTGGGTATCGTTAAAAACGTTTAACATTAGCTAGCACTTCTCAATTTAATATTTTGGCGCTCAAAGCTTCCAGAATTAAATTAATAGAAGCAGTGACTCCACAAACAGTAAAAGGAACCCATATTTTGTAAAATATCCGTATTCTAGTGCTGGGGAACAAGAAATAAATGTCAAGCAAATATACTTGCACAAAGCACGCACTGGGGCATTGGGGGACAAAGTGGAATAAAGTCGCCCAGGATCTCAGCTGTAGACATCATTATGACGTCACAATACAATAGAAGGACTATTTCTTCTGAACAACCTAGAGGTGTATCGATACCACTTTTGTTGCGGATACCGATATCAACGAAAAAACGCCGATAACGACATTCAAAAAGCCGATATTCCGACACTACGTAATTACAGTATTAGCCTGCTAAGTGGGAAGGGGGCGGGCCTAGGCTCGCACGTAATTCACGGATTTACGGAATTACGGAATTATTTGGAGTTACGGAAGGGAAGTTACGAATTACGTTAAGTCGTAATTACTGCATTGAAACGAGCTTTCTTCAAAGCAGTCAATTTCGTCGATTGCGAAAAATGAAAGCTCAACAAGTAGAAGAGAGTTCCGGTATTCGCAGCCGTTTTTCTCTCTCTTGTTACGTAGGTGAAGGAAGGCTTGACGCGTTGCCATTTACTAACCTATTATCAACTTCTCTGGCATGGCCAATGTAAATTATTAACGTAGTTAAGGGGGAAGAACTGAGTAGGGCCGTTTGACGCCAACACACCTGGTCTTAACTTCTCCCGCAACTTAACCGTAGATAAGGGATAGAATTGCGTTGGGACTGATTGACGCCAACACACCTGGTTTCAACTTCTCTCGCTTCTTATCTAGCATGGCCATGGCCAATGTACATAATAACCGTAGATAGGGGGAAGAATTGTGTTAAGACCGATGGACGCTAACACGCCCGGTTTCAACTTCTTCGGGTGAAATGACTAATGAACGCAGGAGATCAATCTTTCAAACATGGTTTATCAAACATTTGTATTAATTTTACTTTTATTTATTATTTACTTGTTCCAGTTTTCCGTTACTTATGGTATATAATATATATGTTCCGTTTCTATTTTATAGTTACGCGTTTAAATAGCGGGAATTCCCCACCAAGTGTGGATTAGCAATGCTTAATTATTCTTTATTGTTAATATCAAGACTTGATATATGAACATGGAATATCATACTGTTTTTAGCTGTTTTATTTCAGACTTGGGGTATAAACAGGAAAATATCCATAACCTTTCAACACGACGATCTTGTGAAATTTAACGAAGAGCTTTCGCGACGAATTGGAACCAAATAAGCGAAAAGAGCGATTGATCACTCGCACCAATACCTCGCCGTGATAATTAATGTCGCGCTTATCAAATAGCAATATGACGACAAAAGAGAGATTGCGTAATGAACCAACGCAACTTCGTCTTCTCGGCATCGGTAAAGCGATTGAGACGGCAGAGAAACAGCAAAACGACGGATTCCTCGCGGACCGCTAAAAATTTAACTGCTATCATATATAATCAAATATGAGCCAGTGTGTTTATTCTGTGCGAGATCCATTTTCTATTACAAAATCTTGATGTTTTCTGTTAACGGTTTTATCGTTATATATCAGTCCGAACTTGGCCCTGCTCATGATGTTTTTCACAATTCCTCTCAATATTTCGGCCATATACGATTAACTGTCTTACCAAATGCGGCAACTTATTTTGATTTATCGTCGACTTGAATACCACCGGCACTCGACCAAACTTGTGTCAATCTTGGCGATAGGATCGCCGACTTGAGTTAGCAAATAAATGTCGTGAGTGTAAAATAAATGTCACAACTCACAAAATGCATTGTTTTGCGATATAACTTTGTATTTTCGGAGAAGGCATATCATATAAGTTCCATATTTAAATTATACTCAAATAAATAATATTTGATCTAAATTTATCGCAAATAATGTTATAAACATTCAGTCCGCGAAATGATTAAATGTAAAATGAAGCATGGTAATCGGAATATCGTCAATAAGTCGACATCAATAATTATTATTATAAAATGCTAACAAGGCAGTAATGTCGGATAATGCAGAAGACGCTGCAAAAACAAGTCTTCGTCGCGAGGAAATCGCAAGTATAATCAAACGAGAGAATACGCTCGTCGTTAGTTAATAAATTAGAAACCCGTAATTTTTATTCAGCACTAAGGTGGTTTTAAAAAACTATCGTTTCCATAAGGTGACCGTACATTTGAACCCATGTACATTTGAACCCATGCGTATATCCAAGGGTTCAATCTATATGCGGGTGCTAAAACCCATGGGTTAGGGTTAGTATGGGTTTAACTATCCGTAAAACAAAAAAAATTCCATAGGTGCAATAGCATACAGGTGCAATTGTCATGGGTTCAAATGTACGTGGGTTCAAATGTAATGGAACCTTTCCATAAATATCCGTATACCAGTGTCGGTATTGATAAAATAAAATTGATCGCATAAAAATGGGACGGTTAATTTGCGAAGGTGATAAATGAAAACCAAAGCTAACACAAAAGATAAAAATCAGAATAAAATTAATTTGAATTCACTCCTTGATATTTGTCTTTAACATCTGCCGACGGCGTGTAGTACTGCCAAGAATATGAAAACCCAACTTCAATGTCCCATTCGGAAAAGAAGTGGATTCAATTGGTTGTTATGATAGGTTTAAATGCGTGAAAAAATATCGCAATTACGGGGTCATTACGTAATTGATTTTGCCGTAATTACGGAATAGATTTTTGTCAATTACGGGCAACGCAGGGCAGAGGGGTTTACACAATAGTCTGTGGGCATTATTCATAGATCATAGTACACATTATTTCAGCTTGAAAAAGAGATATTCCAGAACATAAGAAATTAATGTTTGTGTTCCAGATACATTAATTGATTAATATGCATTGTGCACCGGCGCTAGGAAACTAAGTGTTCAATTAGAAAACTCATACAGTTTGGCTGCTATGTATGGTATATTTAGGCTTACCATACGTCCCGCTTTAGGCGGGACAGTCCCGCTTTTCAGCGTTTTGTCCCGCCGTCCCGATAAGTCAGCCAAAAGTCCCGCTTTTTCAGCATAATACACAAACATGTTCTCGTTACTGTTGTTTCTTTGTAACGCAGCGTTAGCCTACTTACTGAAGGTGAATGCGTTCGTTTCCCGCTGATTCTCATTGATGGCAGACGTATCGCATGTAAAACCAATACTAATTAGTCTAAATTCGAATCATTCGTACCGGTATCGTTAACGTCAATTCCTTCCTATTTTTCGAACTGAACCTGATATTTGGACAGAGAATATGCGCATGAAATTTTGATAACAATATGGTCAATAAAGACAGCCGAGACAGCTTTAAATGTAGGAATGTAGGCCTATGTAGTAAAATCGGAAAATGTGAAGTTACAAAATCACAGCTAAGGGGTCGTTGTTTTTCGAGGCGTCCCGATTTGAAGTCTCAAAAATATGATAACCCTAGCTATATTAAATAAATGTTTACTTATCCTTTCAAACTGATACAACGAGTTGCGTGCGCGGGTTTTTGTGTCAATATAACGTCGTATTTTGCACATTGGAAAATTCACTAATATTCGATTGATATATTTCTACATAATCACCATGTCATATTAGAAATGACAATGTAAAAATTTGGCAGCGAACATAGCCAAATTAGTTGAGCTAGTTTGACGGTTTGACTGATAAATAGTTAAAAAATATAAGTATAAGTTTATTTCGACTCCATAATCAGCATCCTGTTTCTACTCGCCGGGGATGGGGGCGAGCATCGCTCAGAGTACCGCGAACATGATTCCTTCATGCAAAAATATTTTCAACATTTTTAAAACATTCTGGATCTGATTAAAACGCTAAATATATCGGTCTACATTTAGCCAATACAAATACAGATATCGAAAAAATTGCCGATACCAGTCCATCTCAGCCAGTTGCCAACAAATCTTTTTTTCGAGGTCATTACTCTTATCTACGTTTAATTATTATTCCTTGTCGCAGTACGTTTTTCTTGAGCATTCAATTACCTCTGAGGCGATGAATTTATTTGTGGCCAGTTTTCATACGGTGTTCGATTTATGATTGTACTGCGTTGAAGCAAAAGTTGGATAAGGTTACCGTATTTTTTGCAATTTCTCTAAAGGCGTAGTGACCGTATTCGTTATTCCTAACGGTTAGCACGATGGGCCACGCCACTAAGCCAATGCGCTTACTTGTCATTATTCCTGTATTCATAACCGTGCTCAACTGTAGATGCCTTATATCTGTATATCGCATGTAATGGTGTCTGGTTCGCTTTCAGAAAAAATGGCCATCAACAGTCTGACAGTCAGATATTCAAGTTAATTTTTCCAGTCTGCCAGTGACTGAGTGAGAAAAATATATGTGGACCTTCGCCATCGTAGGATGAAGGGTGGTTAACGTAGGTATGGTGCAATAAAAATACCCTACTGGTCCATTACAATAACTTCTATTGCTGTATTATCAAGTCCATGCAACCGAAGCAGTTAATTCATGTACCTAATTGATGAGCTATCCTTATATTGAGTCGTTTTATCAACTTTCCTTTCGCGCAGGATAAATCGCAAAATCCTTTCCTGCATATTCAGATATTCCTAATTCTGAAAGAACTTTTTATGCTTTCATTGTAGTTTTTGTTATTTCCCCTTACAGACTTATATCTCCAGATCTCTGTATGCAGTGATTACTGTGCATTGCAAACCTATCATACTGGCAGTTAATCTTGATAAAAAAATCTTTAATCTCCATCTTATCAGAAACATATATTTAACACCATGGAGGGTAATATAGATAAACCACCTGATGAAGCTATTCAAACCGAAGAAGACAATCAAGACGCCAAATCTGTAGATGATATAAACTGCTCAAAAAGTGGTGAAGCTTCTGCAAAACAAGATATCAACTCCAACACAATTTGCGATAATGCAGAATCGCATCCAGATAATGGGGACGATACAGAAATGAATGTAATGCACACCGAAAATTCTCAATTGGATATTGCTGATGAAAAAGACTCGGAAATGACTGAACAAGGAAAGTATGTAGTCTGGATTTTTTTTATGTTAAAGTTTTGGGGTCTGCGACTAAAAACATTTTTGATGCATAATTCTGTGATTTACATATTTTCCGGGGGGAGAGAAAAGATGATAAGACGACTTAATCATATGGTAAACCATAGCCTCCTGTCTGGTTACCAGTCAATGTCGGTATGTGGTTAGTTAGCCAGTTATTTGTTTTTGTAAGCATGGCTTGATGGTGAAAGAAATCGTAACTTATCAGTGATCATGATCTACCCTACGGCGGTAAGGAGTCCAGCTATCTTATTTCACATAACTATCAATTCTTTCTGTACACACACTGACTAACAAATATATGTTACTCCTGTTGCGTTCTGTAGGCTTCATTTTAACAATGGAATGTAGTCTTCAACATAGCAGCTGAAGAAAGAGTTTGAAATGACCTAACTGTTATCCGAGAATTTCATTGATCTAAAAATTACTGTTGTTTAGAATGGATGTTTCTGTGGTTGTAATGATTTTATTTGTTCCATGACTATGTTACCTACTTCTCTGTATTAGAAATAAATATTTAGGTTTGCATGTCTTTTTAGTGCCTCAGAAATCAGAATCCCGTGTGACCTTCATTATCATTCAAGAAACAAATGTGAATTTACTTCGAACGAGTGAACATTTGTTATATATTAAAAGCATTTGACTTAACTAAGACAGAAAGATAAGATGCCATTGCCCATGCCCACCATCTAACCAAGGGTGTAATTATTTAGTAGGCAATGTTTTACCGGAGAGATTTTGATAATTTCAAAATAAAGCATATAAATAACATTTTTGAGACCTTATTCCCCCTAGACTGGTATAGTAGTATTAGTATCTTCAGATCAATGATGATTGCATTGTTACATAATGTCATTTGCAAGTGTCTAATTTTTTTGTTTTGGCTAATTTAGAAAAAATGGTGTTGAGCATGAAGATGCTGATAGAAGTATAGACGTGGAAGGAGTATGTGATCACGAATCAAAGAGAGATGAAAGCACCAATGTTGGAAATATATCAGCAGATCTGGGAATTCATTTGAGAGAAAATTCAAAAATTTTGTCAGAGCAAGTTAATTCAATGTGTACTGACTCTGGGACGAGTACTCAGATTGAAAAAGATGAACGTGAAAAACCAAGCGATGTCAAAATTACGAAAATTGCGAAAATGAAGCGAAAGAAGAGAAGTTATAGGTAGAATATTAATTATTTTTTCTTTTCTCGTCAATTCGTAAAATTGAATGGAGAATTTATTGAACACATAGTGTCTTGCTAAAATGTTGTTATTGTGTGTCTTGTTAGGATTATTGTGGTTGTTGCTTTTTTCCGTCTATTGGATTAGTTTATTTAAATTTTTAGTACTTGAGAATGAAAGAAGTCTCCAGGAAGCTATTTTAAAATTTTTCTCTTGATGACTACAGGGCCCGATATTTCATGCCATATTTTGCTGTTTTATTCTGATTGATCTGATTTAACATTTGCATTGCTCTCATGTTACAGTGGGATGAGATTTACAAAATTAGTTTGTAATTTTATCATACTGTAGTCGTTTAGGGTAGACCGTTGTACTTTGCTGTACTTTTCCATCTCCGACCCATATTAACTTTTAAGCAAATTTTAATTCCCCCTGAGTTCTGTGAGTTCCTTCTGAGTGAATTTAGGAAATGCTATGACTTTCAGATTTCTCTCTTTTTAAATAAATGCTAAATCTCTACAATAACATTTTTTTTTATTTCAGGAAACAAAAGCAAAAAGATAGAAATACAGACACAGGAGATGAAAATGTTGTTGAAACTGGTGAAAATAAAATGGATGTAGATGGAGAAAATTCACAATCAAAAACAGAACAAGACTTGGATGTAGAAGGACTTGAGAACTGTAAAATCAGTGAAAAGGCATCGTCAAGCAAACAATCACCCTGTAGTAGTAGCAAGTTAAAACGCTCAAAATGTAAATCCCAACAATCATCTGCGGAACATAAAAAACGAAAAAAAGCCTTAAAGTTATCACCAGATAAGAAACCCAAAGAAACAAATTTAGAAGCCGGCACTTCTGGTGAGACTAAAAACGAACAGGACAATGAAAATGACGAAGCGCCGGACTCGGAAGACGATGACAAATCGTCTTCTACGGATAAAACGGAAAGTTCATGGTCAAGTTCGACTTCGTCAGATTCATCAAACCATACTTCTGACGACGAGCATGAAAATAAAACCGAAACTGTTTTAACCGATGATGAAGTATGGCTTGAAAAACATACTGGGGTTTTATCATTACCAAGGTGGAAGGCAGTACAACAGATACAGAAACGAGAGCTGGGATGCTTTAATCAAGCTTGGCAACAAAGGGTAAGCTCCAATTTTTTTGTTTTTCTGTATTCAGGTGGAAATCCTGGAAGTCTTTTCTTAGGAAATCACATATATGTATGAAGCTAGTAGCTTTGAAAGTGGTGCCATATTCATAATTATCGTATATACTCACATATAAGCCAACCCCCTAAAAACCGCGGTACTCCAAGATGACGGACACTGGAATGAGCATGTGTATTAGGTTAGGGTTAAACCATAATTTCAGGTATAAATACTACGGTAATAGAATAAAATAAGGAAAATTGGAATAAATTTATGGCCTAACCCTAACTTGGTACACATACTATGTTCCGGTGTCCGCCATCTTGGCGCACATACTACGGGAGCGCCAAAACGGCGCTATACTGATGAAGTTATAAAAATTTGCATATAAGCCGACCCTAAAAATTGTAACACGCTGTATGAGTTGTAACTGTTGGAATTAAGTTAGCATAGTGTCATTTCGTTTGAGTGCGACCTAAGTTATGCGCGCATAATCCGACCCCTTAGTTTGGCAACCTTTTTTTTTAAAGTTTTGAACTCGGCTTATATGCGGGGTTATACAGTGGGCTATCCTATTTTTATTATTTCACTGGTTATGAAGAGAACAGAATTCACCACATGGGGAGAATCTCATTTAAAATGATAGTTTTACCAAGCTTTTGTTGCTAGATCATAGACTACCTTTGTTAAATATGGGGCTGTACTTTATGCAACTAGGCTCTGAAAAAAGCTTTTCTTAACAACAAATTTTGTATCAGCCTAAGATTGATACTTTACAGCAGTGTTTCTCAGCCTATTGGTCGCGACCCAGAATTAGGCCACTTGAAAATTTTCCTGTGTCGATTGTTGCTGCTTATATTTTCTAGAAAAGTTTTATTTTTTTTATATTTGTGTTGAAGTGTTGCTCAATGGTAGATGTCTATATGGGAAGTATCACAGCGTAAAAACTTGGCATCTGCTGTTATTAGTCAGGCAGTTAATTTTGTGACCTTTTAAGACATAGCGTTACATACCGCCTAGTATTTGAGCATATCCTTAGGTCACGAGATTTTGAAATTCTTTTTTTTTTAAAATTTGGGTCGGTTAAAAAAAGGTTGGGATTTGGGAACCTCTTTTTACAGTTATAGTCTATGTTCACCTTTGACCCCCCCCCCCAAGTATTCTGTTAAATTGTAATCCGTACATACCTCTTGCTTGACATGGAATAATTTCTGTTATTGGAATTAATATAAGGTTATAATATTTAGGTTTGTGGTTCAACAGCAATGGTTAAAAGATTGGAACAGCAGATTACTTTAGATGCTCATAAAGGTTTGTAGAAATGTTAAACATCGTTTCAGTTCAGTTTCTTTGTTGAAAATATGAAATTATTTTAAATTTAACGTATTACTATTAAGGTTGTGTAAATGCTCTACATTTCAACCAAACTGGAACTCTTCTTGCTTCTGGTAGTGATGATTTGGATATTCATATATGGGATTGGTCTTCTACATCTCAAGAGCCTTTCATATCCTACAATTCGGGACATAGAAGCAACGTCTTTCAAGCCAAATTTATGCCAAATTCAAGCGATTTGACTGTTGTCAGTGCTGCAAGAGATGGCCAGGTTTTTAAATATGATTTTATGGTACCTCATAGTTATACCAAGTGATATCTTAGAAGAGGGAAGGCGAACCTTTTTCGTTGCATGCTTGACATATTATATTTCAATTAGGAATAAAAAGAATATGGATCATTGGTTTCACAATGTTTTAGCCTGCACCAGGAAGCTACTTTTCTGTTTTTCAGTCTCTATTTGTAAAATTGTACCCAAATTTTGGGGACTTTAATAATTCATATTCCCAAAAATGTCATACGAGCCCGTTTTCAAATTGTGGACTTTTGTTGCAAAAAGTCACCACAAATTGATACTAACCAGAAAAAGTATCAAATTATATATGATGCTGCTGACATATGGATGATTAAGATTTTTATATTCAGCCCAGGAAGAAGGAAGCTGATAAGACAGCCTAACAATATGGCGAACCGTAGCCCCTGGTTACCAGTCCATGCTGAAATATGAAAATAATTAACCAATTTTTTTGATTCGTATATATGAGGAAGCTGTAACCAAGATGAGTAGCCAACCATCCTATAAAAGCATGAAACCCAGCATTTCTAATGCACATAACATAATAATCTTCCATGCTAGACCTCGTTGGACAGCTATCAGAAAGAGAGAAATGGATTTAAATTGTTTCGAAGGCGTCACTGCGACAATCTCAACTGTCTTATTTTTTGTGCATGATAACAGGTCAGAGTTGGCTACCTGTCTTCAACGGGATCGTGCAGAGACACAAAAAAATTGTCACAACATCGTGGTTCTGCACACAAGTTGGCGCTAGATAGCACTGGATGTAAATCTACATTTTTATCTTGCGGAGAAGATAGTGTTGTAATGGGGTATGACCTTCGTGAAACCAAGTAAGTCTTCTATTTGTAACTTTTAACTTTTTTTGATTTTTTGACAGACACTGATTAATGATAGTATTCATACTAATAAAACATTTTATTAGACATTAATATTAGAAACATATTATTACATTTTTTTATTATCTGTTTATAACTTTGAGGATTGCACTATGGCCTAGCTAAGTACGGTACTAAATTAGTTTAATAAAATGACTGTACTGCTCCATTGTCTTCTCTGTCTGTTTCCATTCCATGTTTGTTACTTATCGATTTTAATCGGTAAGTAGGTTGATAGGTATTTATCTGTCTGTATGTCTGTCTGTTAGATGCACACGATATCTCAGGAAAGCGAGATTGAATCTGCTCCAGATTTTGCATGTGCATTCATCATATCTCGGACCAGAAGCCTATTGATTTTGGGCGAATTATGTCGTACAATTAGCGAGTTTATAATTAATTAGTGATGGGACACAGGGTGTCACCATGGAGTAAGAGCGCTGTTTTGGGGGATCCCCTAACTTTCGATCGATAAGTCTTCGGTCTCTGACCGATATTCTCATTTTTTATGTTATCATATTTTAGTACATTATGTTACGAATGATTAGGTCCTCGAGTGAGTGCTAAGAGATCTGAAATTTTGATAAATAATATTTTCTGTTTAGTCCATTTTCAATTTTTGATGCATAATAAGACGATTCGGAAGATTTTAAGTAAAAATTGATAATTACAGCAGAGCTCAGTTTAGAGCCTTTTTCTAATATTACATCAATTCCTCAATGATGTAATACTTGGAGAATTTTTTTTTGCACATGAAGTGGAGCTATAGATCATTTTTTTCTTCTTGTTGTAGAAAAAATCGCGTTTCTCTTGAACTACAGCACCAACAGCTTTGATTTGTTTTTTACTTTAAATATCTTTTTGATGATGTCATCAGAATCAGTTCTGTTCAACACTTGTTTAAAAATGTTCAACGATATAGCCTGACAGAAGTAAATTTTGCTTTAATAGGGCATCAAAGAAATTAGTATCTGTGAAACAAGGAGACGATAAAATACCATTGTATTCTATCGACACAAGTCCCCATCGACCACAACAATTTGCAGTGAGTGGACGAGACCAGTGGGCCAGGGTTTACGACAGACGAATGCTAGATCCTGAAGCGCCAGAAACTGTAGTTAAGTATTGCCCCCACCATTTGGAAACCGCTACTGACACTAAGGGTAAGTTATTAACAATCAACAGTGATCCTTCGATAGTCGCACATAATTCAATTGGTGATTTGACAACCGATTTGTTCAAGTTCTGAAACTTTTTTTGCCATGAGAAATAATAGGGATTATTTTAATGCAATCTTACGCATTCCAAAATACCCGAAATATTAATCAAACATATGCCCAAACAACACTAATTGCGGTCGCTCCCTGCACAACAATAGGCTTTCGAATGCCATTTTCATATACCTATCTCTCCATAGTTGTTTTTTTCTCCCTCCCTTTATCACTACTTTTCTTTGGAGCCATGATCAACGGCAAAAAAGACAAGAATAGCTCTAAATCACAAAAAATCTCAACGCATGTTATCCCACTAATGTTCTGACTTGGAATGATGCTTGTTGAATGCTCGAGAAGCTGCCTAGATGCACGGTTCGAGTAAGTTCTTGTGGCGTCATCTCACTCGATCGCGTGCTAGGCTCGCTCCGAATTTCGTTCCGAGTACTGCCGCATATTTGACTCAAATTTTTTAGTTGGCTACCAAATTGTTTGAGTTTCTAGTTATTTGACTACCAAGGTATCATTGTAAGTGTAACCACATTAATCAAATATGAACCAGCATAGACAGATGATATGGACAATGCCAGTGAGGTCGGAACCCAAATCAAAATTTCCGATGTAAACTATGAAAGTTGACTAAACATTCTCAAAAAAGATTGTATACGACAATGTTTTTATGGTCAGAATTTGATTTTCCCAAATCCATAATGTCTTTCAATTTGGTGTTTTTTTCTTTTTCAATGAAGGTCGGAGCAATTCAGTTCTGTAGCTACAGTCTCCAAAATTTTTTTGTTTTTCATTGCTTAAAATGAGTTTCAAATAAAAAAATTATTGTTTCAGCTAATATAACCTGCCTCGTGTATAACTATGACGGTTCAGAATTATTGTGTAGTTACAATGATGAAGATATTTATCTTTTTGACACAAACCATTCGACGGGATGCGAATTTACCAGAAAGTAAGTTTATAGTCATTACAAATTTACAAAAGATTTTAATAATTCATAAATTGTAGTTAATTGTGTATTTTTGAATTTTTTTTTTTTAGGATTTTATAGTCATTCAAATGACTATATTTTGCATGAAACAGGAAATTCAGAGGAAAAGATTCAATTTATCATTAAAGTTTTTAATAAGAATTTGTTTTCGAAATAGCACTTTTACAAATATTTCTAACCCGATTTTATTTGTGGTGTCTGTATATTATATGTCCCAAAGTATGTTCTAAAATTTGATTCAACGATTTGGTTTTTCTATTATAGAAAAGGTCAAATGACATGATTTTTTTAGAAAAAAAATCAGATTTATAACTTTTGTTAAAATACTTCATTTACTAAAGGTATAAGGGGCATAGAAACAACGCCACAGTGAAAGGAGTCAACTTCTATGGCCCTAAATCCGAATTTGTTGTGTCTGGAAGTGATTGTGGAAATATTTTTCTCTGGGACAAAGAATCCTCAAAAGTAAAATCTTTTAGCTTGTTTTAGTAAAGGACAATTTTTATATGCTTATCACGCATATTGCTCAGAACAAGGCCCTGTGGAAGCAGACACTGAAATTTAATAATACTGAGAAAATTAAAAAAATAAAAATAGACAATACCTTCAATAGACTGCTTGCAAATTATCGTACAAAAGATCGATCTTGACTCCATCTCGGTGATGGTTTATCTCAGTACTGGTTTGACATCTTTTTAAATTTGATTGATATTTTAACATAAGTTAGTGTCACGAAAGATTTTACTGTGGCCCCATTGAGCTATTTTGCAACCGATCGAGGGGTGGCGACCCCCTAGTTAGTTGAGTCTGGTCCATTCTTTCATTTCGCCGGAGTCTGCTTTTTGCGTGTTGACTTGTGTATCAGGATTCAAATTTCTTGTTTCAGGTCGTACAGTTCATGCAAGGTGATGATGGAGGAGTGGTCAATGTATTAGAACCTCATCCAAATTTACCTATACTTGCAACGAGTGGTTTAGATAAAAATATCAAAATATGGAGCCCTATGGGTGATGGAAGTTTCAATGATGAAAAATTGAAAAAGGTAGGATTCCTTTTCAGAACATATTCTCAAATTCTTGTACTTTGATTGTTTATTTAGCCTGATTCGTTATAATCACTCAGAGCAGCAGTTTCCAAACTTTTGGTTTATTTAGCGCCAAATTATCAGAAAAAAACTCATAGCGTACTTACACCAAAAACGCAAACGCGGCGCTTTGTTTGGGAACCGCTGACTAGAGTAATAATGAAGAATTTGAGTTGCAGTGAAAAAAATTGTTTGAGCTGTTTGCAGCAAAATATTAGTGGTGATAAATATACTTAAATGTAGGAAGCCTTGGTTATAAAGTAGCTCTTAAATTAAGAAAAATAGAATAGGCTTGGTGCATGGATGACCTTGAAAAACAGAACATGTAATTATGAAAATGTGCCAGCAGTCCAGGACGCTTTGCATAAAAGTCATATTTTTATTCTCTAGAATATGTTCCAAATAACCTAGGCTCTGTTTTTCTGGGGGGTCACCCTTCATTCGGGGTTGAATAGTATTGAAATGTGGGTGCTCCCGAAGTATGTGCACCAAGATGTCGCACAACCTGAATCCTAACCTTGTACACAACTCGAGTTCAGGTTGTGTGCCATATTGTTGCGAATACTTCAGAAGGTCCGAAATGTGATAGTCATGTAATACTTAAATTTGTCATCACAATATCACAGCTGATGCTTTCTAATCGACAAGAAAGACACGATGAAAGTAACGAAGGTCATGTGATCGACAGCCATTTATTATGGTTTTTAATGAGGTCTCTGAGGAACGCGAGGTAACATGTTTTGCACAGACTGATTACGAATAGCAAGGATCCTAGGTCATCAATTCACAACCCTTGTATCGTATCAAAGTATAACAAAATTTCAAGTGTCGCTTATCCAACCTCTTTTTATTTCTTCTTATCGATATATGCCGGTAAATAAAAAAATGAATCCTGTTAGTTAGATATCTGATGTTTAGTTATATCTCCTATATTTCATTGTATATCGTATTTTCAAACTTATGTCACACCATAGCCATGTGTGTGGTACAATTTATAAATTTGAATCATTCCCCTGACATTGATAAATCCTAATTTTGACTATAAAAGACAGTGCAAATGTTATTCAATTATCTGTATAAAATGTTTACTCCACCTAATGATGTTTTAGGATTCAGTCAGAAAGTTTAAATTCACATAGGTTGTTTGATATTATGCGAGTTCAAAAATACAACTCCGGCTTGCGGACATGAAATTCTGACTTCCGACTCCCGGAAGCTTAAAAATGTGTTGGTGGACTTTGTGAATATGACTCCGACTCAATATCAATGAAAACTTAACAGACTCCCCAAACCTGGTTTTATATACAAGATTCCTTACTGCTAAAACTACTTAATGCTACCTAAAATAGTGAAAAAAATACTGGTTGAAGAGTTGCAAGCGATAACTTTGCCCTCGGCAGTTTCTGCAAATAAAAATTCAACACTGATAGAGAAGCAGCCATGTGCTTTGTTGAAAACCACTGTGTAAAAGTCATAATATATTTTTTTGCGAATATGAAATATCATTCAATAACAGAAAATCAAATCAAGATCAGTACAACAAATTTTTTGTGTAACAAAAATTTTTTTGCCTCTTAGGGGGAGGAGACATAATAGGAGGGATGGTGAGGAAGATGACGATTCATCTGATTCTTCTTATAACGATTCATCTGAAGATTCTGATAGAGAATCTCGCAGTGACAGGAGGAGAATGGATTGTTTAACTTCATAATTTTCGATTTTCTTCTATTTTTTTCACTGTTCTTTTCTGTTGCTTCTTCTTTTCGCGTCTTCCAGTATTTTCAAATCATGTTCTACTTTTATAAACTTCAAACAGCACGAAAAGACAATTTCGTACCATGTATAGCTGTGCAACATTCAAGTTCATTCAGATAGATACGTACTGGATTACACATTTCTCCAATGGTATATCTCCAGATTACAAAAAAGTTCTGAAATTTAGTCATTCATTGATATGAATTTGATTCCATTAACATAGCATACATTCTACATAGTATCACAAAAACTGGGATTTTTTGTTCGAAAATATTGAATGTAAATATCAGTCTAGCTGAGAGATGAAATTATATATTTATTATTATAAGTTCAAATATCCATAAAAATGGCAACTTTCATTGTAGCACATTTCTAGACCAGTGGTCCTCAACCAAGTATTTCGTGGCACTCTAGTGTGCCGACTGGTACAGTCCCAAGTGTTCCGCTCCACCTAAAAGTTTGAAAACTATTATTCTAGATAGTGCTGTATTCTTTATTTTTTTAGAATTTGTGATTTGTATTTCTCATAGAAAGCAGGTAATATGTCTCAGAATTTTGATTATGTCATGAATGCACCTCTGTAAAAACCATACCGATATAATGTGTTATTATATTGCATTGTATCAGTTCAATTCTACAAAGATAAAATTCTACTTTCTTTTGCTTTTTTGCCAATCCTTTTTTTGTTTGAAAATTTCTTGCTACTTAGCATATTATGATTCACTAATTACTTGATGCTTTGCGTCTTGCTAGTATCGAATATTTGATAAAATGTATAAATTTTAGTATTATACTTTTGAAATAATATCACATAGTAAGAACTTTTAAAGTAAATTGGAAACGATAGAGCCAAATCAAAAAGTTTGTTGTGGTAATATTCAAATTTTGATGTTTCACTTGACCAGAGACTAATTTGAAGATTGTTTGCACTAAAAAATATATGATTTGCCGCCGACAAATCTTGACTCATTTTGTCATAAGTGATTAAACGAAATTAAATTGCGGATGATTTGTAATGGTACCGGTATCTTTTGCTTATGTCCAACTGACCAGTCTTATTAGCATTTCTGTAAGGACTGTTGATTATTGATGGCAAGTGGAATCCATTCTGATAGATGTAAATATCCACTCTTCTATTTTTGCTTACTGTGAAGTATTTCTCATCTTATGTTTATCGTGTTTTGATAAACAGCTCGCCTTTATTTCTTATTATGTAAAATCGTTCAAATGCATATTTGAGTTCCTTGATTTGCGTTTTCATTGTGAAAATTTGAGGGTAGGCTGGATGTTTAAAATCCTCGTTCGATTTTCATCACCTAAAATGTATCCTTCGCCTGCTACAAGAAACGTTTCAAGCTGTGTATTTATTGCTCTTTGACGGTTGCAGTCCAATACATAGTTCGGGGGTATTATTACCAGAAATAACTAATCTCTTACAGTTACCGAAAGCATGTGCGCAATTTGTTTATTCCAAAACTATCTTCAGGCGGTTTTTTTAATAATAAAATTCTGCTTAAATTGATTGCAGACAAACTTCAATCAAGATCAAAACATTTGTATCATTGATTTTGAAATCATTTCCTGAAACGGATTGATAATAAAGCACAGTATTTAAATAATACATTGCTATTTATTCATATCGGGTGGCATGTAGATCATAATTGAGAAATTAGAGTATTTTTACTGAAACAAACTAACGTACATCAATAGAAAATATTCAACGAAGAGCTAATGACGGGGTCGGTATTACAGGTTCTCTCGCGTGTACACCGCACGTAAGTAAAGGTGCACACAGATTTTTCAAACTAACAAGGCTCAATTCAGCCTTAGAAACATTACCGAACAGAAAAATTGAAATAACCCTGCTTGTGGATGGCAAGTGTGAAAAGGTCGATACGCGCGGGATTGCGGGTCACTAGTACACAAGGATGGGATATACTGTTTAGTGTTTACCCTACTATTATCATGCCCATACACCCTAGTGTTTTTTGAAAACAGGCGAAACGTTGGCTCAATTATTGGGGAATTCATAATGTGATATCGCTCAACTGGAACTTTTTGGCCAACTGCAAACAAAGCTATCAACACGCCAGCCAAGAACCAACTATCAAATTGCAATGTATCATAGTGCAAGAATGCTGTTATCAAAATGTCAAAAGTACAATTTAGGAAAAGGTCTACGTGTTGAACTATTGTCTTTATTATTTACAGATTCTGCTCCACTCGGAATATGGGGAGGACTAAGAAAAACATGACCACAAAATGTCTACAACCATATTTTCTGGCTTTATCAATATTCATAGTGATATGAAAAAAAAAATTCCAATCAAAATATATATATATTATTTATTGAAAAAGGTGTATATTAATCAGTGATATACGAGAAATCGGTGGTTACAGAAAAGGAAGAAAATCAGGAAGGTAAATAACATCTTGGATAAGGTTTAAAACGTAGAGAATATAAGATGAAAGGTTTTGCCAAAAAGAAGTGGTAGGCTACTTGTTGACTCACCTAAAATTATTGAATCAATTTACACACACACACACACAACCATATGGCTATAATAAAGTTAGAAAAAAGAGCTTTAGATAAATTTTCTAGTAAACAAACAAAAATAAATAAGTAGGAAATAAATCAGAATAAAAATAGGAATTGTAATTAGGAATAAAAATTGTTTGCTACGCCATTTTGATAATTTTATAGAAATTCCCAAATTAAGTACAGATTATGTAAACAAGAGTGAACAGTATATAATATGAAGACAAAAAGAAATAAAGATTTCGCCAAGCTGATTATAGTTATCGTTCATATTCTGTAAAATAGTGGATTTTTTAATACAATTACCTACATACATACATATTGTGATTTTTTAACTCACAAAAACAGGTGCCTTGGTTTTTTATTAAAGATGGACATTGTGACTATAACTATAACCACTGTTTGTAGTTATGAAGAGTTATTGAAATTTACTATTCAAATAAAACTGTTGCTGTCTTAAAAAAGGAATTTTTTTCCATACCGTTTTATCTTCTTTGCTATATATTTGGTTTATGCCAGATTTATAGATATGATACGCTTCATCTATGTTCATGAATGATTGCTTCATTAGTTTCCTTGTTGAAATCTCATTTTTGATTGAGTTTGATTATAAAGAACCTTAAATTACTAGCTTATTGACCTAATATGAAAATGAATAATTCCCATTGTGATTTCAATCTACATTTATATTTATAATTTGTACAAATTAATCTCATCATTGTAATGTTTCTCTCGAAGTAATTCTGGTATATACCAGGTCCTGATCCAGGAATGGCCAATATAGGATAGTTCTCTATATCGAATACATTCGAAATTATTATTTTTAAATATGAAATTTTGAATACATTTGAAAATAAAATTGAGCATATGAAGGAATTGGCATACAATAAACAATGGAATAACTGTCATCTACAACATGTCTATATTACCAGGCATTTCTTATCATTATCTGTGATTTCATGTTCACAGATTACTGCGATATATATTTTAGAATAGCAATGCCTTTTTTTCTAAGTCGACGCAACCATGAGTATCAGGCGTTTCAAGTTCATCCTTGTAGAAGGAAGATCGAATATAACTAACGCAAATTGGGCAGAAAGAGTTCAAATTCTTTTTTATCGACAACTTGCTTCAATTCTATGCAAAATTGATTGAGATATGCACTTTTCATATTTGATTCAACGTTGTCGTCACATGGCAGCAATAATGAGCAATTTAGAAGGCTTACATGACGTAGCTCACTTTCACTTGCTAATGTTGCTAAAGGTTTTTCCTGGAAAAAAAATTCGAATTTAATTTTACATACATCGGGAATGCGTTGGAAATTGGGGCAACTAATTCGACTATACTAAAATTTGTATACGAAAATTCCGTTTGGCATTCGAATATATTTGGCAAAACGAAAAAGGGAATGCGTTGGTTTAGCTGGGAATAACTGTAGTCTTTTATCAAGTACCGGTACCGTACCAGAGTAAATGATACAATGAGACTCATATAGCTCAGACCTATATCACCAATTGTTTGCTCAACTTTTTTACTGACTGAAGCTAGGTTGAACAGAATCAAATACTGGAATAAACAGATCAAATTTGAGGTGGGGCAATGACAGAATAGTACGGTACCGGTCCTTTTTTGCCAAATAAATTCCGATGCCAAATAGAATTTGCACATTAGGGTTTTTGGGGTCTCGTGTAGTTTCACTAATTTGAATATTATATAATAACAGAAGATTAAATCTGGATCAGTACACCAAATTTTTGTGTAACAAAAATTCTTTTGCCTCTTAGGGGGAGGAGACCTAATAGGAGGGATGGTGAGGAAGATGACGATTCATCTGATTCTTCTTATAACGATTCATCAGAAGATACTGATAGAGAATCTCGCAGTGACAGGAGGAGAATGGATTGTTTAACTTCATAATTTTCGATTTTCTTCTATTTTTTTCACTGTTCTTTTCTGTTGCTTCTTTCTTTTTACGTCTTCCAGTATTTTCAAATCATGTTCTACTTTTAAACTTCAAACAACAGGAAAAGACTATTTCTTGATATGTATATTTGTGAAGATTCAAGTTCATTCAAATACAAACTGAATGAAACGTTTCTTAAATGAGAATAATATCTTATATAACTCCATATTACGAAAGCGTTACGAAGTGTTAAAAAAGTTACGCAAACTTAAGGTGTAATTTTTCATCATGGCAACCTTAAAAAAGTAACTGGTAAAAAGCGTCAGTTATGAAATAATTTATTGGCATTTCACCGTAATTCAATACTGTTAAAACGTGTCAGTCCTTGAATGTTTTAGGTAGCATTTCATCTTAACTTCTGTTAATTTTGCGTTACACCCTGTAGTATACATTTTACATAGTATCACAAGATCTGGGGTTTATTGTGCATAAATATTGAATGTAAATATCAGTGTAGCTGAGAGTTGAAAGTATATTTATTATTATAAATAAGTTCAAATATCCAAATAAAAATGGCAACTTTCGTTGTAGCACCTTTTTCTAGACAAGTGGTTTTCAACCAAGGATTCCGCGGCACTTTAGGGTGCCAACTGGTACAGTTCAGGGGTTTCGCTCAATCAGAAAGTTTGAAAACTACTATTCTAGATAATACTCCTGTATTTTTAGAATTTGTGGTTTGTGTTTCTCATTGAAAGCAGGTAATTTATCATGAATGCACCTCTGTAAAAATCATACGGATATAATGTGTTATGCTATTGCATTGTGTCATTTCAATTTCACAAAGATAAAATTCTACTTTTTTTTTTTTGCTCTTTTGCCAATCTCTTTTTTTGTTGTAAAAAATTCTCGCTACTTGAGTGCAAATTATGATTCTCCAGTTATTTGATGCTTTGTGTCTTGCGAGTATTGAATATTTGATAAAATGTCGAACTTTTAGTATTATACTTTTGAAATAATATCACATTGTAAGGACTTTTAAAGTTAAATTGGAAATGATAGAGCCAAATCAATAAGTTTGTTGTGGTAATATTCAAATTTTGATGTTTCACTTGACCAGAGACTACGGTAATTTGAAGATTGTTTGCACTAAAAAATATATGATTTGCCGCCGACAAATCTTGACGCATTTTGTCATAAGTGATCAAAGGAAATTAAATTGCTGATGATTTGTAATGGTACCGGTGTCTTTTGCTTATTTCTAACTGACCAATCTTACTAGCATTTCTGTAAGGACTGTTGATTATTGATGGCAAGTGGAATCCATTCTGATAGATGTAAATATCCACTCTTATATTTTTGCTTACTGTTAAGTATTTCTCATCTTATGTTTATCGTTTTTTGATGAACAGCTCTCCTTTATTTCTTATTATGTAAGATCGTTCAAATGCATATTTGAGTTCCTTGATTTGTGTTTTCCTTCTGAGAATTTGGGGGAAGCTAGATGTTAAAAACCTTTGTGAAGTTCTACTGACATTTCATCAAACGTTTTAAGCTACATATTTATTGCTGCTACACGGTTTCTGTCCTATACATGGTAGAGAGTTAATGTAACAGGAAAAAAGAATTTCAACGCTCTTGTGAGATTGAGATTTCTTCCGGTACCGTATAGTATGTTTCTGTCTGGATAGGATGAGATAGTGATACTTATTACGGGGAGAGGAGTGAGACTGTAACATATATAGCCTGAAAGGATGAGCGCAGCTTGTTTATTCAAATCTGCATTCAGATGTTTTTACCGTTCATGAAATTCTGTCTCATTTGATTACGGACAAAGTTTAATCAGATTCCCAAGAGTGTCACGGATTTTGAAAGCGTTTCCTGAAACGGATTGATAATTTTAAGCACGTGCATTTAAATAAAGTATATATTTCTACTCATTTATGTGGGTTCTCTTCTAGATCTAGATAACTGAAAATTTTGGGTATTTTACCGAAACCGGAATTTATGCACATTGATAGAGAATATTTAACGAAGAAATAATGGCAGGATCGGTACTTCAGAATCTTTCACGTGCATTGCAGTTGTTACTACTAATCGCTGCACTTTTGCTGAAGGAAGAAGAAAAACACCGAGTATCACGTAAGTATAGGCCGGTGGTTCTTAACCTTTGTGAG